CACACCCACACCCATACCCACACCCACACCCACACCCACACCCACACCCACACCCACACCCACACCCACACCCACACCCACACCCCATAAACCAGCTCAATCGTTATTAACTAATATGGTCTCCCACAATGCTAATTATAGCTGTGCAAAATGCTTTACTGAAGGTACATTATAATTATTCTTTAGTTTCATTTTTCAAGTTCAAAATTTATTGCATTATTTTAGGTGAAAATTTCACTATCTATTCGAAAAAGGTACGAAAACGTACCATCAAAGTATTCCCGTATAGAAATGATGAAGTCAGGAATAATTCCATATGAAATAATCTGGCGATCGAAGCCGAACAGCATGGCTCTCCTGTTAAAGGACATGCTGGTAAGTATTGTCTAAATATTGTCTCGGATGCCTTGATTTAACCAGGTTATTTGGGAGAGTCTTTCAGAAGAAAATTTTATATAATTATTTGCTGCATATATGTTGTGAAATTTATTTGTTTTAGCTCCGTGCCCTTTAACAAAATTAAAATATTATTCTTTTGGTGAATCAATACTCTTTGATTCATTGCATACATTATATTTAGGTGTATTTAAAAAATTTTGTTCGTTGATTTTTTTCTAAATCCAAAACTGATCGTCAACAAAAATGGTCGCTTTATAATAAAATAAATAGTATTGATCAAGGGTTATCTTCTGTTACAATTCCAACTACTACAAGTCGAAGATTTCGAACAATAAAACATATTGCACGTTTCAAGGCGAACGAATTCAGATCCTTAATGCATCACGGTTCAACGGTATTGTTACAAGCAAAGTTACCAAAATATCGTCGACATTTTGCATTGTTATTAGCTGCTGTTAACATTGCTTCTAAAGATATTATTGACAATTATGATATAATATTAGTCAAAGAATTATTACATCAATATGTAAAAGATTGGCAAAAGATATTTGGTCTTCGTCATATGTCATCCAATATACATTCACTTTTACATATTCATGAATCAATACAATTTCTAGGTCCTTTATATATGTATAGTGCTTTTAATTTTGAAGGTTAGTTTGCAGACTACACGTCGTTATTACATATAATTCTCTATCATGGATATTATCTCATTATAATGAGAACAAAAATATAGATAAATATTGATAAGGATTATTTCAATTTTTATTTGAACGATAAGTGTTTTGTTAAGTTGAAGGAAAAAAAAATCATCATCAATTATTAGCTGATGCGATTATAATTACATTTTGACATCAGTAATAAAAGTAATACAATGAGTTTGATCGCTTTATATTCATTTAAGGTGTTTTAACTCGTTTGTAGCGATTTGAAAAAGACTTATGTTTTTAGAATATCATGAGTTATCAAAATTCAAAGTTAAATGAGCTATAACTACCTGATCATTTATTTCTCACTATTCTTTCATTTTCTACGCATTACACAAAAATTGCTAACAATTCAATAGGTTTTATCATCGGTTTAAAAAGAATTTTTCAGGTTGTATTTATTCTTAATTACTATCTCAGGCATTGGTCATGACCTGGTGTGCATGATCCATGGTATGACACACTATGGACCACAATTAATTTCAAATTTACAATATTATCGACAAGCTACAATTGATGTATTCAAACTTGATTATCCAGAAAAACTATTTTATTTTAATGAAAGTATTCTTAGTCGCAAATTAGTATCAAATCAAGGAATACACGTGAGAAAACGAGTGTCTTTTACAAATTATGTTGACGAGATGAAGCATTTGAACTTAATTACAAAAAGAAAATTCTTGTATCATGATGAATTAGCCATCAAACATGTTAAATATAAAACTTTATCATCCACAAAATCTCGCAAATTCGCCGATTGTTGTGTTTCATTTGTATTTGGACGACAAATTAAATTAGGACTTATTAGAGCGATTGTAAGCGATCCAAACGATAATGGAAAAATATTTATTTTATTGGAAGATCTTATTGATGAATTCGCAAGACATCATTTATTACAATTTAAAACGAATAACACAACATTCTCAACAATTCCGAATATTTACATTGGAAAACGTTCTTCGTGTCTTATTCTTAGATCGTCATCGCATATTTTGCAGAAACATTCTTTCAGATTTCTTAATAATGAAGAAACTATTGAAATAATCGAATATTCAAATCTTAAAGAGAGCAGTTGAGTGAGAGTTGTCATATTTTTTTCTAACATGTCTTCGATTTTTTTTCAACTGTAATAGATAATAAAGTATTTTATATTTGCTCATAAAACTTCTAGTTCACACAAGAAAACTTATAATAACTGGAATTAGTTTTTCAACCATTAATAGTAACAAATTTCTCTCAATTTTTTTCGAAAAAAATAGCCAAGATTATATATTAATTTTTTTTTCATTAATAGTATTAGTCTGTTCCTACTTTTTTTCGAAAAAAAAATTATTCAACATCATATATTGAAAAAAAAATTTTTCTTTAAAAATAGTCAAGATTATATACGAAATATTTTTTTATTAATAGTAGCAATTTCCTCTCACGTTTTTTTTCGAAAAAAAATTAGTTTAGATCATACACGAAAAAAATTTCATCAAAGTTTTATATATTTCATGACGAAACGTAGATTTATTCAGGCTGAGAATGTCATATTTAGATCATCTGGTTAATGCAAGCTTCATAATCGTAAGTACATTTGTTCGAATCTACTGTTCTGCATTTATTTCCGATAGGTCTCGAGGGCTCTGGTATTCGTAAGTATATATGTTCGAATTTACTGTTATTCAATCAGTGTCGAGTGCTCGAAAATAAGTGGTGGCGAAAATTTTTTGAAAATTATCGAAAATTTCGAGTGGTCGAAATTTCGACCGCTCGGAGCCCTGCGAAACATCGAGCACTCGATATTTTGCAACTTTCGTTTCACTTAGAACCTATCGAGAAAGGTCATTCGATGGGTATCGGAATAGCTTATCGAAACCAATCGAAGCAAAGACAAAAAAGGGATCGAAAATCATCGATAGTGTGGTCTTCAAGTACCAATCGGAATTTATATTTCGAGCCCTCGAGATAGAAGATCATATAAACTGCAAAATACTTGGAAAAGCAACCCATCGCGGAGCCCTCGACCCATCGGAAAATGGCAAACCCAGGGGTCGATTTGGAATTCCGATGCCCATCGGAAGCCTAAATCGACGCGTCGAAAAGCCTATCGAATGGTTGGTTGGGTGGATAAATATTTTTAAGTCGTAAAAAAGTATGCTTAAACCGAAATCGATTATGGACGTAGTATGATATTTCATTGATTAGCTTATTTTTTTCAACAGCAAACTCTGATACTGAGCTTTACTGAGAATATGATGACATATCATATTTCGAAACACATGAAATTCTACCTTCGTATCTATTCTATTTAATAATGTGACCGTGCGTACTTCATAGATTCTAATGAGTTATAGTTAATTTTAAGATGCTTATTACTTTTTTCTGATTATATCTCATGCGAAAGCAAACCAAATAGACAATATTCTGCAACAATACACTTTAAACTGTATTTAAAAAAAATGTAATATATCATTGCGTAGCTCTTTGCCATATACTTGTATGCCATATGTCTATCAAAATTTGGATGCTGCCTTATATTGCAGAGTGTTTTTATTCTCTTAGTATGATTTTAAATACATCACAGAAGTCTATGACAATTAGTCGAGAAACTTTTAATAATACAATAATAAAATATTCAACAAAAGCTCTCAGCTGTATGAAAATAAAGCAATATCAGTTCATCGATTATCTAATCGTCCTCCTAACTTTTGTCTTAGTACTGTTTAAAAGTAAAATATGAACACTAGAAGACCTGTGGGTGTAGGGTATGGATCCTTTCTTCTTTGACACCTACCACACATCCAACATCCACCCACACCCACACTCTCTTCTAACCAATAAGTTGCCAAGTAAAAACATCGATATTGTGCAAACTATGAAACGCAAAGTGCCAAGCAGGTGTCCACTATGATCACACTGAGAAACATTTTATTTTGCTGTGATATTATTTGAGGCTGCAATTCAAGTTGTTTTTTCTCGGACTCCCTAAGAAGACCGTCATTCATCGATCTTTCTATGCGAATTATTCCATCTTTCAAATTCACTTATCTTTATTTTCTATGCCTACCCTGTGGTAACAATCGAAGACAAAATTGATGAACGAAATAAAACCTTCATCAAAATAATTGAAATTTTGTCCTGTCTTCAGCCGTGCGATTATACTTAACCCAAAAAACCATGAAGGAGACTACCTTGATCGAATGAAATATACCATTTTGTGAAGAATTTCAAGCATTATCTCCTGATTAACAAGAAGTATTTCAATTAAGGAAATAATAAAGAAAAAATTCAAAAATACTATCAGGATAATTTATAATGCATCACCTGATCGTACAAAAATGATTAAACCAAAATCTTTATTAACATGATTTGATTTAGAAGGTTTTTTAGTAAAAACTATTAAAAATATTACATTTTTTATTATTAAAATGGATATAACCGAAAATTTAGCAAAATTTGCTATATGGTTAATTCTTGGCGAACTACAAGGATATACATACAAAGGTTTTCTTATTGAATAATGTGAATTCAATTAAGTACATGATAATATATTGAAAGATTCTTGGCAATATCATTGTGAAAATCATGAAATGTGTCATCTTTATAAGCTTCATATAAAACGAATCGCTCAAATAAAAAAACAAGTACTATAATAAGAATCCATACATAAACATTAAATGAATTTGGTTATCTGAAATATTGTTTTAAAATAATAAGTTCATTTGTCACAAAATTGACTTCGACATGTATAAATATACAGTATCTCTCTTTTTTATATATCTTGGCGGAGTAAATAAGTAAATGCAAGCGAATATAGTTTCAACGCAAAATGATTTAATGATGACTCTTTTCATTAGTCATATTCGTAATAACAAAATGAAGATGCACTATATCATCAAGAAAATACAATACTATTAACATTATATTGAATATAACTGTATTACTTGATGCATATATGTTAAACGTCATATCTGGCACAGAAGTAAAACATATTTTTATGATCTAATTCGATGATTTACAAAAGTAAAAATATTCAGCATTTCTAAAATCGAATAATGAGCAATGCATCATACATTTTGATTCTTATTTTACTCTTTTTATTAATGAATATAGTTGATTATAGAGTTCTTGTTTTAATTGATAGAAACTATTTGAAAAAAGTATAGGATAAACGCATAAAATAGAGAACATTAACAAAGAAATCAGATAAATTGTTTTCAAAGGCCTGGAATCTGATGATTACGAAATGCTTCAAAAAACAGACGATGATCACGTCGCACTTGTTCACCATATACCTAAAATCCAAATTTCCGATTATGTTTTAATGTAAAACAAAAAAGAAAACACAAAGCTAACATTCTTACCATGCCAAATTCTACCATATCTTGAATAAAGTCATCATCTCGTCCATAAATAGTATCACGAATTGTATGTTCTGTATTTCTTGGTATAATTGAAAATGGTAAACATGCTATATCTTTTGGTGTATTCAAACAATCAGAATCAGCTACACAATGAATTTTTGCTAAATAAAACACACAATATCGATTTTATTTTTCTAAATATACAACATAAGCTGTTAGAATGATTCCTATAGGATAAAAATACCAAACACGATGCAGCTGCTCTTACTAGTCACTGGGGAAATGTTTTATTTTGTCCTTTTTTTCAGACATATTTCGTCAACATCCTTTTAATAAATCCTCTAGAAATACAATAAGAAAGCTGTTTATATATTATAACAAGACCTTATTTATTTACGAGCTTCAGTCTTATATCAACGGTATCTGTGACAGAGTGAGTAGGCGTTTGCAAAAAACATCTGCCATGATCTTTGGCAATGAAATGAATCCAAACTTCTATCTCTATAGTTCAACATTCACTTTAGATCGTGCTTCACAGAATAAATAATTCTTACCCATAGCTCGTCCGACATATTGAATGATTTCGACAACATCTTGAAATTCATTAATATCAGACCAATCAAGACTTTCCGAATGTGCTGTAACTGCGTCAACAAGACATGAAATGCTGCCCAATGTTGTATAACCTAACCACCGAGGTGTTGATGCTTGCATTGCATATGAACATAAAACTATTCGTAAACCATCATGTTTAAAATATTCATTCAAAGTTGGATTTTTTATAATATCAGCAATAGCAGATTTTTGTGCTGGCTTCATGTAAAGGATAATATCATTTTCAAGTGTTTCAGTTCGTCCTTCAATTAATAATGAATAGGAAATTTTTCCAGCTGAACCAATTCCAGATGATGAACGTGCTACAATATCTTTGACTCTATACTGTAACTGGTCGTTATCAAAATTTCTTTTTGATTTTTTTTTATTTTGCGGTATTGTTTTTAAATATGTTTGAAAAGCATGCATTATATTTTCACGCGTTTGATCATCAACATCTTTAATATTTTTTGAACGAATGAATTTTCGATCATAATTTTCAATGTATGTCATTGAGTCCAAATGTGCGACATGAGATTTAATACGAGTTTCATTTAATATTTTTTTTATTTTACCTGATGTATTTTTTAATGTTAAGGCAAATTGATCTTTTGGACAGTCACAAAATTCATAAACTTGTTTTAAATATTCTTCAACACAAGTTTTGAGTACTTGTTGAATTTCTGTGTCTGAAAAACCTTTCGAATAACATATTAAATTAATCGAGGCTAATAAACGCTTAACATCCCATGTAAATGGACCAACATAACCTTCATCAAAATCATTAACGTCAAAATTGAGAATACCATTATTACCTAAATATGTACCAAAATTTTCAGCATGTAAATCGCCCTGAAATAAAAAAGAAATTTTGTTAAAGGTTTTTTTTTGTTATTGATTATTTACATGAATAAAAACGTGTCCAGCAGCCTTATTTTTGGCAATAAATTGATCTTGATCAAGTTTTAAATCCTGATAAAATAGAGCTGCTGAACCACGATAGAAATAAAATGGTGTAGCTGACATTTTACGAAAACGACCACGATATGCGGTTGGATTGTCACGAATACCATCTTGAAAAGCATTTGAAAATGTTTCAATAATAAACTCAGTTCTTTCTTCATCAGTTTGTGATCGAATACGATAAATTGCTTTTTCAGAAGCATTAACTTCATAAGATAATTGATTGGATTGATCATAATCATCAGATTCTTGTTGAGGCATGATTTAAAAAGAAAACCTTTTCGTCTGTTTCAATCTTCAATCAGCTTGCCAGTCAAATCAATGTTATTGATCAGCTAAAAATCAAATCAATAAAAAATAAATAAAAGACTCGAATAAGTGTATGTTACTCTCTCTTTATTATTCACAAATGTATTTAATCGATTACTATTAACCTTCGTTTATGAATGGTATATTCGATTCTCTGAATTTCGGTCGAAATCAAAAAAATGTCGAAAAAAAGAAAATGTATAAATATGGAAAGTAAAAATGTGAAAGGTAGAATATCGAAGAGAAAAATGTTGAAACGGAAAATGTCGAAAACGAAGCTGAAAATTCAGGAATAATTTCTCGTTGAGAAAAAAAGCCAACGAGCTTCATTCAAATCATATGTTTTTTTATTGAAAAAGCGAGAGATAAGCAACATACTTTGACACATTATTTTATCGATCTGAAAAAATGTTATCATTGTACAATCATAGCTATTTTGTGTGTGAATGTGAATGTGGGTGTGGTGGGATTGAAGAGAGGCACATTCACATTCTCTTCATCGAACATCTTTCAAAATACTTTGTCTTTCACTATTTTACTTTTGTATTTTTTTTCGCATTTTTCGACATTTTTACTTTCAACCAACGTTGAGTTAACCGGTATATTCTATTTTATGTTCGAAATGAAATAGAAAGAAAAAATGATTCGAGTGGGATGCCTTCTTTCAAGAACAGTATGAAGCAACGTATGATGATAGTAGAAACAATTCGATGTTTACAAAATAACTTTTCTTTCATTTTAAATATAGGAATTCATGCAGCAACTGAGTCTCGATAAAATGATGACGTTAAACAACAAACGTTACTGTGTAAAACAAGAGAAAAATCAGAAATTTCCCGACATAAATGTATTAACTCAAGGTTCTTTCAAAGAAACTTTTTCAACATAGCTGATTAACCATTTGATTGAAGTATTTTATGCTAGTTTGACCATACAAGCGTAAAACACAACAATTTTTTCATTACTTGATTAATTAATGTATTTCATGAGATTTTTGCTCGAAAGAAACTTAAATATATTCATCAAAAAAATTATTTCCAAAACTAATCAATACATATTCTAGATGAATCTTATTTGTAGAGACACGAAACCTACAAGTACAATCTTTAGAATGTATTGTCAAATGCGCAGGTAGATTTTTAACTTGATATTACGATTAGAAGTGTCTTCTTAGATTGCAAAGTGTTATTATTATTTAGATTATAAAATCTTGGGCATAGGTGTGGATGTCATAGAAGAAAAGATCAATACCCACACCTTTGCTCCTATTTTTCTTTTTATGATAGAAACAGTGAATGATTGAATAAGTTTCACTGGAAAATAAATATTGTTTTCTGCACGAATCCTTGCTTCTTGTACAAAAAAAAATCTTTTTTTTTAAGTCAAGGTTATCCAATTACTTAATGGCTGCATGTCCCCTTTATTAACAAAGAACAAAGGAAAAAAGGTAATAGTCATCGTCGAGAACATAGTCCTTGATTATTGCACAGAAAAAAAAACTACTTTTTTTGTTCAGTGAAATTACTTCAATATTTATATGTTTGTATGTTTAGATACCGTTTGTTTTGTGGATGGAGAACTTCGTGATTAGAAGGTTTTGTAGTGATTCATTTTCATAAGGTGAGGGAAAAGTATTAAAACAGAATTATTTATACATATATAAAGGTCGACTGTGATGACGTAATAGAGAATTTGTTTTTTTTAAATAAGTTTTATGGGAAAAAAATTTAGATTTTGCCGGTGAAGTATTTATTATGAAAAAAAAGATTAATTTTGGATAACTGGAGAATTGTCGATTGTTTGTTTTCCTCTGTATGTCAAGACGCCTTGTTTTAGATTTGACGTAAGAAACAGGATGCGGAAAGATCATTTATAAATAAACTTTTTGTATTCAGTTCTTGGCTCTGAATCGGAGACAAACACTTTTGAAATTCAGAAGGAAGAAAAACAATTGACGATTTCTCAGTTATCGATAATTGACTTTTTTTTTATAAGCAGGTCATCGGCAACAAATTGAAACTTTCTCCCTAAACACCAATTCCACAAAAAATAACGCATATATATATTCTTGATCAGCTCATCATCCTCTATCTAACTATATCAACATAATGCTGCTATAATTTTGCTTTTTCCGGCGCCTTTTGTAAATGAATCATTCTAAGCATTCCCTAGTATCTTCATCTGAACAAAGAACTTATATACATTTATGTATCGTTGAATAATTATGAAGCCTCCTTTATTCTAGTCCTCAATTCCTATTTGCATCCGAGAGTTTCTTGCTTCTAAATTCAAATTGACCTAAAAAAGCCCGCTGTATGGAATATTTACACTTCAGAACACCTACCATGTTGATTTTTTTCTGCTTACACTCAAATAATTTCAAAATGTCATCACAGTGTAAACGAACATCACGAATATTATATATTTCGCTGTTAAAAATATTCGTATTAGAGCCACTATCGCAAGGAGAATTCTTCACTAAATATTAACGAGACGAGAACCCTTTTCCAGAAAAATTATAGAGCATTTATTTTTCATACAGCACTCTATTGAAATTTTCACTAGATCAAATCTTTTCCAATGGTTGAAGAATAGAACCGTGAACGATTTTATTTCCATGGTGGAACTCATATACCAGATTCACAATGTTAACTATAGACTCTTTGTGAGGCGAGTAGCATTACAGTAGCTGATCTCTGCTATGCGTTTCGTAAGCCCCTCCTCCCACCCCCACCCTTAGAAAAGTCAAGTTTGGTCAAATTTATCGTTTTTATGATTTATAACTCGTTGGATAGAGCAATGCGTTTACTCTAGAATGCAATAAAGTTGATTGATTTTATGATGAGATTTAAGGATATTGTATAGGTTTTTCTGAACCTTCATATAGAAAAAAAATAAGGTTTTTAAAAACTTATTTTTCGTTTTTCTCAAAACCAGTTTTTTCGACAGTACCGTTTACGCGGGCAGGCTTTTCTTCATAATGACTCGATACAGAAGTGATAGATTTTTTTATTGTGTAGTAGACGAGTGCGGCTAGGTCGAGACAGAGCTGAATTTTTGAATTTCTCTTTTGCTGAAATAAAAACCGTAGATCTTTCATTTTGATTAGTGAGTTTTTTGGTCATGAATTCAAGGATTTTTAAAAAACAAAGGAAGAAAATTAAAAAATCGGACTCTGTCATGACCTAGCGCTAGGGGCACTCTACAACCTAGACACCACCCCGGCCTGTTAGCTTTCAGTCCTCAAGACGAAAACCCTGCCCGCGTACAGAGTACTTTTTACCACTAAATTGACTGCAACTCATTAGTATATTGTGGTTTGGGGGAGATATTTCACTCATGGCCTATCCTAGCCTAGACTCATATTCTCTGAAATATTTGATTGAAATCGGACGAAAAATAACAAAGTTGATTTCTAGGGGGAAGGGGAGAGTGGGACGTAAAATAATTTCGAAACATTTTCATCGTTAGCAAAATAACTCACATGTCACGAAAATAACATTATAGATGGATAGTGATACGATTTGAGAACAGTAAAATCTCCTCAATACTGCTGACTAAAAAGATCTACTGAACAGACTGTAGTTTCAAAAGCATATACCTTTGCTGCTTGTATTGGTACGAAATTCTCTGTGCCTTCGACGAGGATACCAGTATAATAAATTGACGTCCTTCTATGCTTCAAACTGAAGCCTTATCCAGCTTATATATAAATTGTGAAATAAGTTTCGCTTCGCGCATCCAACCGTATCACGAAAAAGATGAGAATATTTTGTCAAAACATACTTTGTCTTTTTTTTGGCTGGAAATTTTATCTTTCTTTTGTTTGTCCTCTCATTTTTCGTTCCTATAGCTAAACCATATCCATACACAATCAAATGGATATGCATCTCAAGGTATACAAAAAAAGAGTAGGAATATTATCAAAACAAACCTTATTTTTCT